GAAGGAAGGAAGGAAGGAAGGAAGGAAGGAAGGAAGGAAGGAAGGAAGGAAGGAAGGAAGGAAACTGTAGCGTCTCTTGATCATCTATCATCTTGCTGAATTACTTTAAGGATTTACCTCAGGCAGGGAGTGATTTACGGCAGGGAAGTTTATTACGTGAATAATAAACTTAGTTTATTATTAGTTCGTGTTTTCGATGTAAATACACGATATTTTCATTTTCAAATGTTTATGTATGCGTGCTTATGTCTTGACGCTGGCTTGGGTGCTGCAGAATTGCACAGCCCGCTCACCGGCACGGGTCGCCCACAGATGCCTTTCTGGAAGTTGTTTGGCATTTTGTTTAAATGCCCCATCCATCCTTCCTCTGTCACCGCTCACCTTACGACTCAGGGGGAGTCGCCTTCTCCTGTTTCTCCAGGTCCCTCCCGGCCATCCCCTTTCCCGTGGGGCAGGGTCCGGGGCTGGCCGGGAATGCAGGATCTCGCTCCCGAGTGCCGAGCGCAGGGCGCTGGAGCCGCTTCCTGGCGGAGCAGAACTGCTTTCCCAACTCTGTCCATCCTACCATTTCCCTCCCGAAAAAAAAGACTGAAAACTGGTTCTCAAAAGAAAAGAAAAGTTATCGCCCATAAACTCCCCAGCGCTGCCCGTCCTCCCGCGGCCGGCGCTGGCTGCGGGACTGGCCGTGGGCCACCCCAATTCCTGCCCCGGTTCCCAGCCCGCTGGAAGCTGCGGGAGCCCGGCCGGCAGCTCGCACACACCTGGGGACGTCGGGGTCGTGGCTGCTCCCCAGGCAGGGCGCACGGGGCTGCGCCAGCCTCCTCCAGCGGGATCCGGGATGTCCTGGCGGGACCCAAAGCCATCAAATACGGCGCCTTTTCTCGGTTTCCAGACCCGGACAAAGGCGAAACAGGCAGCTTGGAATGAATTTTTTACTTTATTTGGAAATCTCATCCAGAAACACTGGTCAATAATAAATATATCGATAGTTATTATCAAGAATATATAAAAAATAAAGACATGGTGGTGTCTTTGAGGCCCCAACCGAAAACAAACAAACGAATGAAATGAAGAATAACATTATTTCAGACAATGTCCCAGGAAAACATATCGAAAAGGAAATAAACAGCAACAGAGATTCAGATTTAGATATACAAATCAGAGATCTGGCAAGAGCTGACCCCGCATGCAAAACCAAACCATAACATCTTTTTAAAAAGGAAACAAAACCGAAAACAAGCAAAACAACATCAACAACAACAAAACCAGCAAACACTAACAAACCCAGAGCCAGCAACGGAAATTTGTACCCCAGACAGCTAAATCAACACACTTCACCGAGAGCAGGAGATGGGAGATTTGTCAAAACAGATCTGCTGGAGGGTTGTGCTGTGTTTTGCACTATTTTCCTCTTTTTTGTTTAATTTGTTTTTTATTTTTCTTCAGAGAGAGAAGAAGGAAAACTATCAAAAAAAAAAAAAAAACCAAAAACAAAACCCGAAAAAAAAACCAAAAACCCGGATCATAACCAAATCTGTAAAAACAAAACAAAAACCACCAAACCACAAAAACCCATAGACCACACTCGAAAACTTCAGTGAATTCTCTCGGAAGTCCTTGTTGCCAGGGGAGCCGCCTGTGGCCAGTCCCCACGGGTGACAGGCTGGGCGGAAAGCATGCACGAACTCTCTGCTCTGCCTTCCGCAGCCAGGTTTGGAACGGGAAATTTCGGAGGTGCGAAAGGAAAGACAGGAAAAGCCCGGGGAAAAAAAAAAAAAAAAAAAAAGGGAAAAAAGCCCCAAACCGATCTCATCGTCTCTTGGTAGCTGCGAACACTACAATGACAACCATGTCTTTTTTTTTTTTCCTTTTACATACATTTTAAGGAATCATTTACATTTGATTACCATCAGAGGCATTATTATTATTATTATCATTATCATTATTATTATTATTATCATCATCATTCTTTTTACAACAGGGACTTTTGTTTCCAGTTTAGTATAACAAGAAAACATGGCCCAGGGAGCCGGTGGAACATTACCTTTGCAAGGTCCTTACTACACTAATCCCGTGTTTCAGGGGCTCGGCGGGCGGGGGCAGCTCCGGCCGCAGTCCCTCTCCGTCCGGGGGAGCCCCGCCGAGTCACTTGAGGAGGTCCTTGGTGTCCCCCGAGATCCTGGCCATGTTGGAGGCGGTGAGGGCCGAGAGGTGGGGCGGGGGCGGCATCTGGCAGATGGTGCAGGGGCACGGCAAGCCCGCCCAGTGCTGGAAGCCGCTGCCGAGCTGCAGGGCGGGGGGTGTCGAGGGCGTCTTGAGCAGGGAGTGCGGGGGCCGGATGGTGCCGATGGCCGGCAGGGAGGCGGACAGGGAGGAGGAGGTGTTGGCGGAGGACAGGGCGCCGCCGAGGATGGGATGCACCTGGTGCACGGTGCCGGCGGCGTGGGGCGGGTGCCCGGCGGAGTGTCCCACCGTGCCGCAGTGAAAGGCCGAGTGGTGGCCCCCGTAGATTTCCCCAACTAGCCTCTTCATCTCCTCCAGGGAGCTGGTGAGCATCAGGATATAGTTTCTGGCTAGCAGGAGGGTGGCGATTTTGGAGAGTTTTCTCACAGAAGGTCCGTGAGCGTAGGGCATCACCTCCCGCAACCCGTCCATAGCCAGGTTGAGGTCGTGCATCCTCTTTCGCTCCCGGCCATTGATCTTCAGCCGCAGCTGCTGCAGGTCCTGCTCCGAAAGCTGCTTCTTGATTTTGTACTTGCTGCCTTCCCCTCCGGCCTTGGAACCGTTCCTGGTGAGGCCTTCCCCAGACATCTTCTGCACCAGATCGTTCTGAGTGGAAGAGACCGAGTTGAGCCGGCTGTCTTGGTGGTGGTGATGGTGGTGGTGGTGGTGATGGTCTCTCAGGTACATCTCATCCATGTCTGGCGAGGAAGCTCTGCTGGAGACAGAGCTGGAGTCAGAATTCATTGTATTCAGGCTTCTGAGCAAGAAACTCTTCCCTGCTCTGGAGGTGGCGGACAAGACAACTCTCCTTCAAAAAGCAACAAAAACAAAACGAAAAGGAAATAAACGGACGGCAGGGTCTGCCAGCGAAGGGCTGGAAATGCTGGAGGATGAGGGAAAAAGCCCCTCAGCCCTCTCTCTCTCCAATATCTCCCCTCTGTCTCTCTCTCTCTCTCCACCCGGTTACTCAGCCTGTTTACAGGATGGCTAGTTAGTGTATGCTTGGACTAACCTCAGCTTGAAAAAGAGGGGCTTTTATAGAGCTGCAGCAGAGAGCAGAGACAAAAGGAGCCCTCCTATGTATAATGGTCTAGTTAGGATGACGTGCCATTATTCAGGGCGGTGCGCTTTGACTGTCCCATTTAGCAAGGACCCCTATTCATATTCATTGTGGTGCCACCCGGGACACCTCAGCCACGGACCATCAGGAGTCAAGGAGACACAAAACCCCTCTGATTGACACCGCACACTCATCGCTCCGTGTGCGCGCCTTCTCCTCCCCCTGCCTGCTCATTTCCAATATAAAACCTCATCCCGTCTACAGTAGGGAGGCAGGGGGCTGCGAGGGGCT